AAGTCAGGAGTGGGGAGGCTGTGTATCTGGTACTGTGGGCCCCTGATAATGTCTCTGTTGTGTTGCAGCTGGCAGCGACGTCAGGCACCTGGTGGGGATGCTGCACAATGATACTGCAGAAGAACAGCTATTCCCTGTCCCTGCCCCTTGGCAACTGGTCCATCCAAGGTTTCTGCAGCCTCTTAAGTAGAAGGTGTCAGCAAGCCAGCCTGTGCTCCCAGCTAACTTCTGGGGTCTACTCTAGTCTCCCCTTGAATCCTCACCATGCCAATTCTGTGCCACTATATACTATGGTAAATTTTGCTCTTTCCTGCTACCCCTGCCTCTCTGCCATCCTTCCTCCTTGCCCTGTCATTGCTGAATGCATCTGTGGGCTGCAAACTCAGCAGACTGCAGATGAAAAACAAGCCCCAGTCTGGTTTCCAGAATGGTACCCAAACCTCAAAGGCAGTTCTGTTCAGAGGCATCCGAATTCATGGGCAGTGTGGACAGGGGAGAAGCACGAGGCTCTTCGAATTCTACCGACTTGGGGACAGTTTTCTTCTTTATTTACTCCTTTTCCTGGATCAGGAGAGGTACACATAGGGTGGGACAGGTAGCGTTCACTTGGAACGTAGCTGTTTAACAGTATCTACAAATGAACTTATCTACGAAACAGACTCACAGACATAGAAAACAGACTTGTGGTTGCCAAGGGAGACGGAGGTGTGGGGGAGGGAGGGATTGGGCGTTTGCGATTAGCAGATGCAAACTATTATGTAGTGAATGGATAGACAACAAGGTCCTGCTGTATAACACAGGGAAGTATATTCAACATCCTATGATAAACCATAATGAAAAAGAATATGAAAAAGAATGTATATGTACAACTGAATCACTTTGCTGTACAACAGAAATTAACACAACAAAGGGACTTCCCTGGTGCGGTAGTGGTTAAGAATCCGCCTGCCAATGCAGAGGACACGGGTTTGAGCCCTGGTCCAAGAAGATCCCACATGCCGTGGAGCAATTAAGCCCATGCGCCACAACTACTGAGCCTGCGCTCTAGAGCCCACGAGCCACAGCTACTGAGCCCACGAACCACAGCTACTGAAGCCCATGTGCCTAGAGCCCGTGCTCCGCAACAAGAGAAGCCGCTGCAATGAGAAGCCCGTGCACCGCAACGAAGAGTAGCCCCCGCTCACCGCAACTAGAGAAAGCCCGCGTGCAGCAACGAAGACCCAGCGCAGCCAAAAATAAAAAATACTAAAAAAAAGAAATTACCACAACATGGTAAATCAACTATACTTGAATACAATTTAAAACTTTTTTTATATTAAACATTACAAAAAATTTTCATTAAAAATTTTAAAAAAAGACAGTGTCTAGCCAAGAAGTCATTCAGCAGAAGCTGTAGGTGGACTATAGCGGCTGAGGGTGGGGATAGGTAACAGCGGTGGCCCTGCAGTACCACCATGCAGACAGCTGTGAGGGTCCCCCCCAGGGGCCTCAAGCCCAACGTCACCTTTCAGTTCTGAGATTCCGAACAGTAATCCATGCACTTTTAGCTTGGCTACCAGATGTGGAGAAAGACACCTTCCAGGGACACTTCTCATCACCTCGGTATAAATACACAGCACCTGCTACCAGCACTGTGGGGCAGCCTGGCGGCCAGGGCCCCTGGCTTTGCTGCCAGGCCGCACGGTGTTTCTCTTGTTGCTCGTCCATCAGAATGACTGCTGTGAGACACGCCACAGGCCACGGGGCCCTGGATCTGTAGGCACCGTGGAACTCTGATCCTCCTCTGCTGAGCCTCCTGTTTTCCTTCCAGCGTGGACTTAACACATACTTTGGGGATGGAAGAAATGAACTGATTTGGAACCTGATTTGAAAGATTTTGTTCTGGACCCAGTCAGATGATTCAGGGTTGCAGCAGACAGGTTCCACTTGTCTCCAGGGACCGCTGTCCTGCACCACCCATCCCCAAAATGTAGGCTTTTCACTTTTGATCCTTCCCCCAGATATTTCATTTAAAGGGGAGTGTCTATGGGTACAATTTCAAAGCTGACTTTTTAAAGTCTAGTTGACTTACAATATGATATTAGTTTCAGGTGTAGAACACAGTGATTCGATATTCCATAGATTATATTCCATATAAAGTAATAAAATACTGGCTATAGTACCTGTGCTGGACATTACACCCTTGAATCTTATTTTACACCTAGAAGTTCAAAACTCATTACAGCTGCAGTTACAGGGTTCCCTGAGAGGCACCACCTGTGCCCAGTTTGGAAGGCTCACAAGCTGAGCCAATCAGGAGGAAAGATCAGCTTCCTTATTTTATCTCCCCTCGTCCTTGTGTCACTGACCCACCTACATCTCCATTTTCCCCTGCTTATGACTGCATTCTGGCTGAGGAGCTTGGGGATTTATCTTTCCAACATTCCCTGGCTCCCTGGCTTTCCTGCTCAGAAATGATGGATGTCCCCTCCCACCTGTCAGTTTCCCTGACCTCAGGGGTGCATTTAACCTTCCATAAATTGGCACAGAGCCTCTGAGATGCAAAACACAGTGCCAACGTGCTGAGCACGCTCCATCCTTTATTGCCATTCTGAACACATTCCTAAGAAAATCAGATACTCTACCCAAAAACTTATTTTTCAGTTCTGGGCTTTCTTCCACTTTTTCTCAGTTTTCACCTATTTGTTTCTGAGAGTGGCAACAGCTTCCCAATGCACAGCCCCAAAATACTCTCTGCAGTTTTTTGTGATCCTCATCCTAGTTAAAATTGGGAATGGAAATATCCAAACCCGATTTGCTGGCATCCTTAGTGTCGGTGATCTCCCAGGAACACATTTCCTTTTACAGTAAACACAGGCTGTCTGTTTCTGAGGATCCAATAAGGACTGTGTTGTGTGGCACAAACTCCTAATAAACACTCATGGAACCGGGTCTCTCACCCCCTCTAGACCTGCAGTGGTAAGACCTTGATGGTGAGAAGAAGGGACATGTATCATTTAAAATCTGCCAGCAGCTTTCAGGTCCATCTTAGGGTGAAGACTATTTCAGGAAAGCCAGTTTAATGGACCTTTTGGGTATGTAAGAGGGGAAACAATTTTTTTTTTTTTTTTTTTTTTTTTTTTGCGGTACGCGGGCCTCTCACCGTTGTGGCCTCTCCCGTTGCGGAGCACAGGCTCCGGATGCGCAGGCTCAGCGGCCATGGCTCACGGGCCCAGCCGCTCCACGGCATGTGGGATCCTCTCGGACCGGGGCACGAACCCGTGTCCCCTACATCGGCAGGTGGACTCTCAACCACTGTGCCACCAGGGAAGCCCAGGAACCAATTTTTGATTCTGGCTTGGAGGCAAAATGTGGAGCTAAGCTGCTCTGCATCATAATCCTGAAGGTTCTCTTTATTGAGGGTAGAGAATATCTTTGCAGATTATTATGCTACTGACTGGGAGAGTGAACCTGAGGCTGGGTTTTAAACAGAAACTGTTTCTCTCTCTCTCTCTCTCTCTCTCTCTCTCTGGGTCTAAGAGAAGGTCTGAACTTCAAGAAGGGGAAAATGTCCAAAGATTCGCCTCTCGGTAGCAGCTGGTGGTGAGCGGGGTCAAGAAAAAGGAAAGGTAGTAGGCTCCCTGTGAATGGCCATGGGCTTAGGAATCCGGGAGCAGAAAGACTGCAATATCTGTTTTAAGTTTTCTTTGCTATAATTCCCTTATATTATGCTCAAGCCTTTAACCAAGTTTTGTAAAACTGGTCTTTGTTGTGATTTAGAAGATTGATGGAAAGCCTGTGGTCACACTTTGGGGAACTGTTTCTGGCAGCAGGGGGGCAGCCTGGACAAGCTGGCTGAGAGACAGCTGGAGTGGTCCAGGGAAGGTGGCAGAAGAGGTGACACTTGGCAGCTAGGACCATATAGGTATCGCTCAAGGATGATCACAGCAATATGGAGGGAGGGAAAATTGGTCAAAGATGGAGCACCCAGCAGAGGACTGGGGTCAGAGGATGTGTTCTTCTTTGGGTATTAAATGGGATGGTGACCTTTCAAGACTGGAGAACGTGGGAACATCTGGGCTCTACTTACGAATGAAAACCTCTTTAAATTAAGACAGTTGTATTTCTTATTCTTGTCATATCCACTGTCTCTATTCCTAGCCTCGCCACCCATCCCCTCCGACTCCTGTGATGTTTCCACAAATCACTTGACATTTTGAACAAAGAAGATAATCTGAACTTTTCAGTGATGTTTATTTCTCACCCTATGATCCATGTAAAAAACAGAGGAGGGCTTCCCTGGTGGTGCAGTGGTTGAGATTCCGCCTGCCGACGCAGGGGACACGGGTTCATGCCCTGGTCCGGGAAGATCCCACATGCCGCGGAGCGGCTGGGCCCGTGAGCCATGGCCGCTGAGCCTGTGCGTCCGGAGCCTGTGCTCCACAACGGGAGAGGCCACAACAGTGAGAGGCCCGCGTACCGCAAAAAACAAAACAAAACAAAACAGAGGAAATATTGCCAAGTTCCAAGCAGCACATACCGTTATGTTAATAGCATAAACGGGACTTCCCTGGTGGCGCAGTGGTTAAGAATCTGCCTGCCAATGCAGGGGACACGGGTTTGAGCCCTGGTCCGGGAAGATCCCACATGCCGCAGAGCAACTAAGCCTGTGCGCCACAACTACTTAGCCCACGTGCCACAACTACTGAAGCCCACATGCCTAGAGCCCGTGCCTCGTAACAAAGAGAAGCCGCCACTCGCCATAACTAGAGAAAGGCTGCACGCAGCAATGAAGACCCAACGCAGCCAAAAAAGGAAAAAAAATAGCTTAAACGGTTCGGTCATAATAAATTATATCTAAAGGCAGTAAAATTAAAATCTAAAGGTAATTTCGTGCCTCTGTTTAACTTATATATGGCTTCCTCCCTTAAGCCAAGTTATTTTATCACCATTTGTACCCTGTGGAGATGTCACTACGCTCCGAAAATATACTGCAGTTGAAGCCGCTCAAGGAAACTTACTTTCTATCGGGACTCCATTCAATAACCAGCTAATTCTGGGTTTGGGGTTGCCATTAGCTCTGCAGATCAGGGTTCCATCCTCTCCTGGGGACAGCACAAGATTTTGAGGTGCTATGATCCAATATGGAGCCGCTTTGTGAGGAAAGGAAAAAAAAACCCACAAAAAATTGAATCAAGTAAGTTATTCTAGCAAACTTAGTATACTGAACTATCTTAATAAAAATAAGTATTTTGCAAAACATTTGTTAGTTTCATTTTTTTTTAGAGTGAATAGATTTATGCTTCAAAGAACACTTCAGATTTTCAGAAGAATGTTTAAGACTCAGTGACATATATGTATTATTTCTAGAGCCTTTTGATTCAAATATCGTCATCTTGTTTTACATTACGTTAATCAGACATCGAAGAGGTAACAGATTTCTCTAACGCTGTAGAGGAATTTACAGGTACAGATAGGGCTAAGAAACATGAATTTTACAAATCTGAGCCCTGTAGGATACATACAATTATAAAATTGGAAAGCAGTTTTTAAAGCTTTGCATTTTTGGAAAGCTGCCAAGTTAGTATAGAGTGTTCTTACAAGCCCTTCACCAGCTTTCTCTTACAAAACCATGGAACAGATACCAAAACAAGAAATTAACATTGGATACCATCAGCTCAACTACACACTGTATGAGGACTTCCCCAATTTTTCCCCTAATGTCTTATTTCTGTCTCAGGACCCTGTCCTGGACACCACATTGCGTTTAATTGTCACATCTTCTTACTTAGCTTCCTCCGATCTGGAAGTTTCTTGCTCTTTCCTTGTTTTTCATGAACCTGAGACTTTTAAAGACAACTAGTCAGTTATTTTGTAGAACATCTTTTTTTTTTTTTTTCCCTAAATTATCAAGAGCTTTTTGGTTATTTTTTATAATAAAGAACATCCTCTTTTCATCATTATCAGGACAGAAATGGAGAAAAGTGAATATATGTCAGTGTTAGCCATAAGTGTTACATATCAATGTTAATTACTAGCCCAACACTATAAATAAGTTCTCTATCATCTCTTTTTTTTTTTCATGAATTGTTTCTTCCTTGAACATCTTTCCAGACTTACAAAGGAGAATAGCCAACTGAATGCTTTCAGGGATAAATCAAGCTTACTAAATTGATTAGTCTCCGTATTTCTCCTAAGATATGTTCTCTACTTCTTATCTGTAACTAAAATATTTTGTGAAACATTTTCAACATGCTCTCATTCCTAGAGAATGTTTCTACCAGTGACTACTGAATTCTCCTACAGATCAATGGGAAGGTTTTAAGTGAACAAAAGCTTTTCCATCTAAGGTCAACTTTAGTGATTTCTGAGTGAAGAACTCCTGAATTTTTAGATTATAATCACCATCCAACCACCCCCATCGGTATCATCATAATTACTTCTTTTTTTAAAAAAAGGTTATACTCCATTTACAGTTATTATCAAATATTGGCTATATCCCCCGTGTTGTACAATAGATCCTTGTAGCTTATTTTAAACATCATAGTTTGTACCTCTTAACCCCCTACCCCTTTACTGCCTCTCCCCACTGGTAACCGCTGTTGTAGACATCCATCCTATCTGGGAGTACATGATATTGACATGGCTTATTAGTGGTTATATTAACCTTGATCACTTCGTTAGAGTGATGTCTGCCAGGTTTCTCCACTGTAAAGTTATTATTTTCCCACTTTCCATGTTCTATTCGTTAGAAGCAAGTTAAGTCCAGCCCTCACTCAAGGGGAGGACAATTAAGCTCCATCTCCTTAAGGCACGAGGAGTAAAGAATTTGTGGACATATATTAAACCTGCCTCAGTAATTAATTTTTGGGGGGTGAGGGGAGAAGAAACACTTTGAGGCTATGCAAATATCCCGTTTCTCCTTAAAGCTCCATCCCGTAATTTTAGCATTCATCACTAGCTCTTGCCTACATCAGTTATAACTGTGGGATTCTAACTGTGATTTCCTATTTCCTTCATTCTTTCTACACTTATCAATTGGAATCCTCTGCAAGGAAGATCTGAGGGAGTGAATTTTTAACCTGATTTAGATGCACTATAAATAGCAATGAGAAGAGATTCAAGGTGCCATGTATGTTGATATAAATTACATTATTATTGAATATAATCAAAGGCATTTTGATTGAAGACTCAGGGATTCTCAGTGGAGGCAAGAGCCATGTATTTTAGACAATGATATACCTTTAACTGTGACAGAAATGACATGATGGATGGCTCCTAGTGCATTTTTGGCTATACACTGGTAATTCCCAGAGTCTGCTTCTGTAACCTGAACAATCTGCAGAGTTTTCTTAAAGTTCCTATAAAATGTCCGGTTGATGGGGAGTGTTCCATCTTCTTTTATCCAGTAAATAATTGGGGTAGGCCTGATAAGATGAATAAACAATAACATTACAAGAAAAGAAGTTCACCTAGCTGCTTTTGAGGGTGATTTTCATGCGAGCTTGTCACAAACATAAAAATCATGAGGAATATACAGAGATTTTACCCAGCACCACACTTTTATGAGTCATGCTCAAACCCTTACATTTCAGTCTGTAAGTTACCATTTTCACACAAGCAGAACTGTGCTAATTTATGGCCCACTGTGAACTTGGACTTCAGGGATCTGGTGAGAATGGCAGCAAGACTTACTTGACGGAAGGGACCTAATTATTTTCTTCAAAGTTCTGATCAGTGAGGCACTCTTGGAAAATTCTGCATGAAGGGATTATGTCGATCAAAAGAATGACCATGAAATTAATGACACCGAGTTATCATTTTTTTTAATCGGCTAGAGTTAAAAATGCCAGAGAAGGAGCTGATATACATATTTGTGCCCATGAACTTTTCACACATTTCCATTTCAAATGGAAGCACCTCCCTATCTTATAACAGGCTATCTGATGATCTGAATGAAGTGATTAGAGGAATCGTGCATTTACACGATTGTAAACGGTATGTTACTCATACCATTTCTCACCTATGTTTCTTATTAAATCATGAACTATAGAGACAGATGAAAAGCCAGACATAGGCTTAGAGTTAAAAGGTCTGCTTCAAAATCCCAGCCTTATCCCTAAATTGCTCTCTGATCTTGGATCTCTGACCCTTTTGGGCCTCAGGTTTCTCTGTTGCCTTAATGCGCATAATGATGCTTGTTTTGATCTGGTGACTTGAGAAGGTTTTCAGGAGGGTAAAATAAAAATCTATTCAATACATTTACTGAGACTAAATTATACACCAAGCACTGAGTTGTGTGTTGGGAAGATAAAGATAAAAAACAGAATGGTCCACGCCCTCAGGAAGATCATAATGTATTTATCATTAGAAATGCAAGTGGGATTAATGGATTGTAGAATTTTTTTCATTTGTTTGGTTGAATAAAAGTAATTGAACAGATATATTTGAGGAACTGAATTGTGAGTAGTGTGATTTCCTGACACGGCCAGCAGAGGCCTCCATGTTCCTCCGGAGGTAAAATTATTCCTGGAGGCCAATTCTGGGATTCTAGGAAGGAATGTGGACTTTGAGTCACCAGGCCAAGGACAGCAGAGATCATAACACATGATCACAACATGTTTCTGAGATTCCAATCAACGTTTTCAGCAAATGTGCCTTATCAGTAGTACTTGCTCTGTGCCAGGCATAAGAGGGAACTATATAGAGAAGCTTGCCTTGAACGTTTTCCTAATATGGAACTCCTGTCAAGGGCACGTGCGTTCTGGGGGTGGCGTCAGTTTTGAGGTCTGCACAGATGAGACATCTGCAAAGAAGCTGGGCTGGTGACTGGTCACTAGGAGGCAGGGGTTGGGACAGTGTGCCAGGTAGGAGGTTAGGTCCTGTGAGGCAATGTTTGCCTCTGCTGTTAGGAGAACAAGCCAGGGCGAGATTGCTAGAGGGGTGTGAGAAACTCATGGTCAAGAGCTCCGCTGCCCTGCTCATAGCCAACAGACCCAGAGCTGTGAACCCAGAGCCGAGCCGCCCAGCAGATGCACAAACAGGGTCAACTGAAATCAGTCGGATCTAGCCTGTTACAGCACAACTGCCCTGCAGACCTGCAGACAAACGATCAGTGATAAACAGCTATTGGTTTTAAGCCGCTAATTTTTGAGATGCTTTGTTAGACAACAGCAGCAAAACAATAACCTGAATTATATAATCAGAGCAGTCAGAAGGTGATTACTGATACTTATCTCAAAAGGAACACTATTAACAAAATATTTTAATAACATGAAATTTATATGGCCTGTTTTGGAAGGATTATCACATTTTTCTTGATGCTTAATGGAATCAACATAAGACAATGACTCTTGTTATGATATTAACACCTCTCTACCAATCTACTATGTTTACATAAGAAGTGGACATCAAGACAGAGTTAACTCACAGCCCTTCTGCAATGCACTCAAGTGAAAGGACATTTCCTCGTAATTCCTCTCTGCGGCTTGCATTGCCTTCTGGAGTTAAAAATGTTGGTGGCCTCTCTCTATGTGATTTAGCTGCAAACAAGAAAATCAATATGCATTCAGAGTTATGAACACGGATTTCTAGAAGCCCAGTTCACTGCCTAAGAATCTAATCCCTTTGCAAATCCATTTAGCATTTGATTGTGAAATTTGTTAAACTAACACAGACACACTCTTTGCCTTGCAAATAGCCATTACTTACTCGACCGGAAGTACAAACTATTTTGGTTGCACCACAAGCATTAATAAGAACTGTTTTCCTCTTGTACATTTCCCTAATTTGGGTTAGGGTCCTATGAATTTTTGGTGAGTTGGCAAATTTTCAAAATGTAGACATAGAGAGGAAAATCATGTTATCAAACTGTCCATCTCTTAAGATGAGTGCGCACGTCAAATTGAAAATGAGCTGTCTGGAAGATATGATGATGGAAGGGGTATTTTGCTTTACCCTAGGGACAACATTATAGTCAATTCCATTGACTAATCGTGAAGATAAATCGTGATGGACATCTTACCTATCAAAACTGCAAAGTTTATGGAAAACAAAACAAAACACAACTAGAAAGTGACTGCAGAGGTATGGCAAATTGTGTGCCATAAATTAAGGGTGGACTTCAAGCAACTGAAATGGGTTTCCTCGACAAAAACGTAAAAAAGGGCTCAAGTCAGAAATCTCAGGAAGATACCTACAGACTACCTCCATGTTTTATGTAGTCCTTGCCTAAATGTGGCCTTATCTTCTGATGGCCGCTCAGAAAAAACTTAAAGTCGAAATCATACCGTCTTGAGGTTCTAAGAGCCCTTTACAGTGTTCAACACTTCAATGTATTATCTACTTGATGCTCATAAAAACTGAAAATGTAACATATGAATTCTTCTCATTTCTCAGAAGAAAAGACTGAACACCAGAGAAGGTATTACTGGAGATAAATTAGAGTTTTCCTTAGATTTTACCCCTCTGAAATCACTTTGGGAATGATTTTGAGACCCATATTTTTCAGGAGGATTTTAACATAAAATAAGATAAAATGAAATAAGGTAAGATAAAATAAAATAAAATAAGGCAGGAGTTGTGATCTGTTTACTCTGGTCATTGATAGTAACTTAATGTTTTTTACTTCATATCTCAAAGGTAAAAAATTAATACAGCAGAAATTCTGCCTTATAGATAATTAAGAGGACCCCATATCCAGAACCCATAATTTTCACACATAGACTCTATACCTGAGAGCCATATTTCCGTTAAGGAAATCAAATTCTTTTCTTTTTAAAAGAATGAGGTTAAATCCTCTATTTTTAAAAAGATTACTTCCACTGAAGACAGTCACTCGATTTTAAACAAAACTAAGAGAAATACTATTGCTAATTATATGACGTTGATAAGGTCATGTGAAAACAGATGGAAATACGATGATTTACTATCAAAATCCACTTAATATTAATTGCAAAAGTTTACTAAGACTTTGACGTTAGTATTTTAGCAAGATAACGCACCTTGCCAACTCTTATTTAATTCATGAGAAAAGTTTATGAGCCAGACAAAAAATGAAAAATGTAATTCTGAACATACACGCAAGATTTTTTCCCAAATCTTGTGGAATGGTTCTTTACATGAAAACAGTTATAGTAACTTTCATTATTATACATACAACATGGAACACGTTATAGTGACATGTTTGAAAGCTCAGAGCTAAACTTCATATGAAACATACATGATTTTAGTGGTATTAAACACGGAACTAGGAATTTCATAAAGAAATAAGGTTAAACAGCCATGGAGGTGAAGTTAGTGAACTAAATTCTACAATGAAGGAGAAATGTCAGTTACAATCACCATAACTCACCACCATAAAACTCAGTGTCACTCAAATTAGCAGCTATAGTGTCATTCAATTCATCCACTGAAATAAACAGAATATTATGAAGAATGCAAAAAGTAGGGGGGAGGGGATTGTAAAAAAAAGTATTGGGCAACAAAAGCAAACATATATACCTATGCTGACCGAGTACCATCCCTACCAAGTAAAAACAGTGCTTTACATTGTATAGAACTATTTCATTAATTCACTCAGCCACCCCCAACCAGTAATATGTGAATATATAACTGAAGCAGCAGGACTCCCAATTAAAGGCATCGTGGAGCATAAAGCACTCACAAATGCTCAGAACACTAAGTAGATTCAGGAAGTTACCATGGCAACAGTAATGGTAATGACAGCAAAAACTGTAAAATACAGTATTTAAGGTAGGCAAGCTCCTTATAATATTGATACATGTGCCAACACTTTAGCAACTATTCACAGGTACTTTCCTGATCAGTGAACCTGTTTACTTCAAAGCTAGTAGGATTTAATAATCCATACATTTGCACACATTTGTAAACATCACGGCAAGAGAGTTTCTGGAAACTGAACTCTTACCTGAAATCACCTTCACAGAAATAGGTTGCTTCTGCTGTATGGTTTGAGTGTGGTTAAATCGTGCGTAACAGATGTAGTCTTCCCGGGTATCCTCTGGGAGCACATTAGAAAAATAAAGGTCTCCATTCAGACCCTGGGAAACTCTCTCACTCTGTGGAAGTCTTTGAAAGGCTGGAGAAAGGCGGAGAGACATCTAGATCATTCCATCACAAAGTAGCCACTTTCCAAATTAGTGAGATAAATGTTATCTACTAATAACTAGTTCTGTGAACTTCACTTGAATGTTTTTTTTCTCTATAAAGATCTTTGAGTAAAAGCAAATAACTGTAAAAAAATAAATAAATAAAAGACACATGTATTAAAACTCCAATTGTACCTGCCAGACCCTAATTTCTCTGGAGTGGGGGTAGAGTTGAGATTAGAGTTGTCCAGTGAAGGGTTTCATGCAGCAAGCATAAACCAAAAAATGTTTTACACAAAGAGTTTGCATGACTTTTCCTAACATTTAAGTTAATCCCTAATTGTTAATCATAGATACACATGTATCTCAGAAAGTGCATTACGGAAGCTTGTAATGATGTTAACATGGGTTGCATCTATTGCAGTACATACACAGTCAGACACCTTATACTGTGACAGCACCTAACTGTGACGAACTAGGTCCTGGGCAAGGTGTCAGGTGGACCTGGTTCCCTGCCCTGAGCTTGGGATCTAACTGGAGAATCAGGCAGCAAACAGGCAATTAACAACAGGGTGTAATGCTGCAGACGTGCTGCTCAGAGGCCCCCCACACCCAGCCTCCCTCACCTCCTCAACTTTTTCTTTTCTGTGTTACCTATCACCTTCTATCAGACAGTGTACTTTATGTGTATGGCTTATAGCCCGTCTCCCCACACTAGAATTTAAGTTCCAGAAGGACGGAGACCGTCATCTGCTTTGTCTACTGTTGTAGCCCTAAAAATGCAACTGGCCCCTCACAGAAGTTCCAAGATGAAATGAACAACCATCAGCATTCTGACTTTCCAGTTTCACATTTAACCACCGACTTCTCCTCAGGCCCAAGTAACAGCCTAGCCTCAGGCATGGAGGGGAGATTTTCTAAGGCGATGAGGAACTCAGGGAAATGGGACCAGTGATCTATGTGTGAACTGACACTTGGCTGGCTAGCATGACTCAGGAAGCTTCTGACTCAGTTCACTGGGAGAGTTCTTCAGCTCTGAAGTGAGAGAACCAGCAACAACTGTACCTCCTAGTTGCCTGGGGCCAGGTGTCATGTCTCCCGGAGGATTTCTTGATTCTGAGTCAAGCAGATATGCTCCTACAGCAGCAGGTGCCCTATCTAAAATGTCATGAAATGCAAAATTATGGGGAAAAGCCTGCAGCTCCCTTGGGCAGGTAAAGGTAGGGAAATGTGGAGCCAGACCTTGAAAGGATGCTGGTTAGCCATGTTAGTCAAGTTCTAGGTCAAGATGGGGGTTTGGTTGGTGGTTGTAAATTCATGGTTTGAAGCCATTAACCAGGGAAAGGGTTGTTTTAAAAAATAACTCAGAAAAATGATGTATATTTATTTCATGAATACAAAGAGTTAAAGATAGGGACACATTTATTCTCTTCCATTTCTCCTGCTGTATTTTATTATGGACCGGTGTTGGGAGATCAAATGAAAGGGAATGCCATTTTATAAGGATGGTAGCACTTTGCCCAATGAGTTCCTTGGCATTACATTGGGGACAAAAATGTATGCAGATAGGAATACCGTGATAAGGCCATCTTGCCAGAAGAATGCTACACAGATCTGAATTTTTCCTCATGTCCAGATGAAATTTCACTTGAAAGGTCCAGATGCTTTGCCTACAGCCTAAAATGTATGTAAATGACATGGGCAGCAGTGCAATGTGAAAAAAATAAGTTACATATTCAGATGATTCTGAGACTACATGTATATGCCTCTTTATTAAGTGGAAAAGTCATCAATTCTGAGTAAGAACCAATAACCAAATACTGGGCCTCATTTTGGCAGTACATTTGGATACTGTCATCCTCGACCACATAACCCACTCATTTACATTTGATTTGTTACTTATTCTTTCAAAACCTGTAAAAGCTGTTATGTGATCATAGGAAAAATATCTTCGCCCATTTATTCATTTATATATTTATTTTCCATTTCTTTGTGATACTTTCTCTGAGGGCTTTGATACAGAACAGTCAAAACTGGAAATGAAATGTGAGAGCTAAATTTTATCTTCAGTAATGTGCACAGCTGGTGATTTCAATGGAAATCATGTCACTGAGAACAGAATATATCCCCTACACATATTTTGTAACCATTCCCACCATTCTACCCAAAGGACTCTTGTCAAGGTCAACAGCGACCACCGTGTTGCCAAATGTAATACTCATTTCTCAGTCAGATTGGAAATTGATCTCTCAGCAGTATTTGAACCAGCTGATACTCTGTCTTCCTGACACTTTTTCTTCCCCTCGCCCGGGGGACCCCCTATCTTTTTGTTTTCTCCTTACCTAAGCGACTGCTTCTTCTCATCTACTTTCCTTTGCTCCCTAAGTTCTTGGCCCCTTGAGGGTCCTGGTCTCAGTCCCCAGACTTTGCTCTTCACCATCTGCACTCCCTCCCTTCGTCCACTCCTCCAGCTCCCGGCTCTACAGAGCATCTCTGCAGCACTAACATTCACACGCTGTCGGCAAGAGCCCTGAATCTTCCTTGGACTCATGTAGCTGTAGCTCTGTTTCCTGCTGGACCCCCCCACAAGGATGCCTCACAAGCCTCTCACATCCCAAACCCAGGTTCCTAGTCTCCAACGTAACATGATAAGGGGAGGTGTGGAAGGATGGGAGAGCAGAGCAACAAACAATTCCCTAAGGATAGGGATGGGGTGAACAGATGTTAAACTGCCTAATGAATGACTTCAATTCTCTGTGCCTCGGTTTCCTCATCTAAAAAGTGGCAAGAGTCATCCGAGATGCTTCCTGGGACTGTTGTAGAAAATGGATGAGATAACTTATGTAAAGTCTTTAGCAAAGGGACAGGCACTTAGTAAATGCCCAATCAATATTAGCTGTTGTTACTACCAGATATAAAATAGATAATCAATAAGCATCTACTGTATGGTGCAGGGAACTGTGCTCAACATTCTGTAATAACCTATATGGGAAAAGAATCTGAAAAAGAATGGATATATGTATATGTATAACTGAATCACTTTTGCTGTACACCTGAAACTAACACAGCATTGCGAATCAACTGTACTCCAATATAAAGTAAAAAATTAAATTAAAAAAAAATTAGCTGTTGTTGGGGACAAAAGAACGAAACTGAAGGAAAAGGCATAACACATCCTTAACAGCTTGATTTCCTTCCCTTGATGGGCTTCTGGTGTTTCAGGAAATGGCAATTCCATTTTACTAGTTGTTCAGTCTTAGACTTTGGGGTTACCTTTGATTCCTCTCTCTCAGGCCTCCACCCTGACCCCAATAAATCCTGGAGGATCTACCTTCAAATTATATCTGGAATCTGACCATTTCTTCCTTCCTCCCTTCCTGCCTCCCTCCCTTTCTTTCTTTTTTTTTTTTTATGGCCACATGGCACGTGGGATCTTAGTTCCCTGACCAGAGGTCAAAGCCATGCCCCCTGCGTTGGAAGTGTGCAATCTTAACCACTGGACCAGCAGGGAATGCCCTGGAATCTGACCATTTCTTACTTACTTGACTGCCACTACCCAAGTCCAAGTCCCCGTCAATTCTTGCCCAGATCACAGCACTGGCCTCCTAACAGAACGCCCTTCTCTCCCTTTCGTCCTCTCTGTTCTCCACACGTGAACCAAAGTGAGGTTCTTACTATTTGTTTTGATTCAGGTGAAGCCACTCCTTCAATGTCTCCCTACTTCACTGAAAGCAAAAGCCAAAGCCCTTCGCACCGGAGCCCCTGGACTTTCTTGACCTTTTCTCTCACTGTCGCCCTTGGGTCAGTCAGCCTGGGCACACTGACCTCCCTGCTGATTTTACACATACCAGGGATGCTCCTGACCTTGGGGCTTAAACTGGTTTTTCTCTTTCCACCCAGATATTTAAGGGCCTGCTTGCTCTTTCACTCCTGTAAGTTTCTGCTCAAAACTCTGCTTATTTTTCTTCACAGCACTTACTGCCAACTGACACATATTTTCTAAATGCATTTATTCTCTGCTTTCTTCTCTCCCTGCTTTTATTCCCATTGCATAGAATATAAATTCAGTGAGAGCAGGACCTTTGTTTGGTTTATTTAGAGAGGTGCCTGGTACATAGTAGGTGCTCAATAAAATAAAGTGACTGAATGAAAGGCTATGTGATTTATTTTCCTGAGAATCTCTAAGACATTTTATAAACATCTTATGAATCACAAGAGGTAATAACTGATTGGGACAGCCAATAATCATAAGACTCTTGAAGAAAGAGAGTTCTTATTTTTAAAACTTACAATTATCCATCCAGAATATTATAGGTGGTGGTAACCCAACTGGGGGTCTGCAGGGCAGTACCAAAGACTGGCCATTTCTAAGTGTTATTCGTTCAAGTTTTTCTTTGGTCCACAACGGTGACCCTAATGAAATAAAAAAATAACTTCTAAGTTATTTATGCATTGGAAAATAAAAAGAGCACTAGAAAGAAATATAAACCAAACTTCTGGAGAAACAGTAACTCGAAATTTACATACATTAAGGTAACGAGAAAAAAAATTTTAAATACGGTGTTAAAAAATGGCATTAGTAGTATAAATTCTGAGTCAGCAATTCCATGTCTAAGAATTTATATTAAATAAATCCTTAAGAAGATACAAACTAATTTTTCTACAAGCATGCCCTTCGTGAAAGAATGAAAAACATTTCTATGTCAAAAGATTTGTTAAACAAATAACTGTACATGTACACCTTTGAATATCATACAGTGTTAGACATTGTATAAGTATACTTATTTATAAGATTAATATAAAATATACATGATATCTAGATAAGGCAGAAACGGTTATAAAATAGTACTTCAGAATGAGCTTGTTTTCGACATGTACATACATATCTGCCTAGGTAAAAATAGAAAGAATAGTAATTTCCTTGAATGAAAGGATTTGTGAGTAATTTTGAACTTTCCTTTTTGTTCATTTGTAATTGATTTATTCTACAATGCACACATATTATACACATAATAAACATTTAAAAAAATGACAAGAACTTCAAATGGTCGCTGTTCTTTAAATACATGCTCTTGGGTTGTTGAGAGCATGTGGGTACTGACTATTGCAAAAAGAGCCACAATAATATCAAGAGAGTGAGGTCACCCTATTTCCAGTGAAATTCTGAAATAAAAATGTTTAAAGAAATACATGCATCCCAATGTTCAGAGTAGCATTATTTACAATAGCCAAGACACAGAAGCAACAACCTAAGTGTCCATCGGGCAGATGCATGGATAAAGAAGATGTGGTACATATATAAAATGGAATATATTAGTCATAAAAAAGAATGAAATTTTGCCATTTGCAGCAACATGGATGGACTTGGACGGCATATGATAAGTGAAATAAGTCTCTTTGTACAGAGAAAGACAAATACTGTATGATATCACTTATACGTGGAATCTAAAAAATACAACAAACTAGAATATAACAAAAAAGAAGCAGACTCACAGATACTAGTAGTTACCAGTGGGGAGAGGGATGGGGGAGGGGCAGTATAGGGGTAGGGAGTTAAGAACTACAAACTCTTATATATAAAATAAGCTACAAGGATAGGCCCCAGTGTGGCTTCCGTGCCATCCATCTCGCAGTTGCTGCCGCAGGAGACCTTGGCGGTGGCCCAGGCCACACACGCCCGCAGGCCCCCCCTTGTCTCCTGTGGCAGCCTCCGTGTAGTCACCCAGGCCCAGCCAGTTGCCGGGGCTCTCAGTCTGCCCGTTCTCTAGTCGCCGCTTACTTTGGGGTCCAGCAGATGCCGGAGACCAGGGAGACCTCGTGGAGGACCTCGCAGGGGCTGCTAGCTGCCTCCTGAGCCCACCGGGTCTTCAGAGACTCTCCGGAGAAGCTGTGTGGCTGACAGGATCTTGGTGCTCCAGCAGGGTGTCAGGCCTGTGCCTCTGAGGTGGGAGAGCCGAGTTCAGGACATTAGTCCACCAGAGACTTCCCGGCTCCACGTAATATCAAATGGCGAAAGCTTTCCCAGAGATCTCCATCTCAACGTTAAGACCCAGCTCCATTCAACAACCAGTAAGCTACAGTGCTGGACACCCTATGCCAAACAACTAGCAAGACAGGAATACAACCCCACCCATTAGGAGAGAGGCTGCCTACAATCATAATAAGGTCACAGACACCCCAAAACACAACACCGGATGCAGTCGTGCCCGACAGAAAGACAAGATCCAGCCTCATCCAACAGAACACCGGCACTAGTCCCCTCCACCAGGAAGCCTACACAACCCACTGAACCAACCTTAGCCACTGGGGGCAGACACCAAAAACAACAGGAACTACGAACCTGCAGCCGGCAAAAAGGAGACACCAAACACAGTAAGTTAAGCAAAATGAGAAGACAGAAAAACACACCGCAGATGAAGAAGCAAGGTAGAAACCCACCAGCCCAAACAAAGGAAGAGGAAACAGGCAGTCGACCTGAAAAAGAATTCAGAGTAATGATAGTAAAGATGATCCAAAATCTTGGAAATAGAATGGAGAAAATAGAAGAAATGTTTAACAAGGACTTAGAAGAACTAAAGAGCAAACAAACAATGATGAACAACACAATAAATGAAATTAAAAATTCTCTAGAAGGAATCAATAGCAGAATAACTGAGGCAGAAGAATGGATAAGTGAACTGGAAGAAAAAATAGTGGAAATAACTACTGCAGGGAAGAATAAAGGAAAAAGAATGAAAAGAATTGAGAACAGTCTTAGAGACCTCTGGGACAACATTAAACCCACCAACATTCGAATTATAGGGGTCCAAGAAGAAGAAGAGAAAAAGCAAGGGGCTGAGAAAATGTTTGAAGAGATTAAAGTTGAAAACTTCCCTAATATGGGAAAGGAAATAGTCATTCAAGTCTAGGAAGTGCAGAGTCCCATACAGGATAAATCCAAGAAGAAACACGCCAAGGCACATATTAATCAAACTCTCAAAAATTAAATACAAAGAAAAAATATTAAAAGCAGCAATGGAAAAACAACTAATAACATACAAGGGAATCCCGATAAGGTTAACAGCTGATCTTTCAGCAGAAACTCTTTAAGCCAGAAGGGAGTGGCAAGACATATTTAAAGTGATGGAAGGGAAAAAACTACAAGCAAGATTACTCTGCCCAGCAAGGATCTCATTCAGATTTGACAGAGAAATTAAAACCTTTACAGACAAGCAAAAGCTAAGAGAATTCAGCACCACCAAACCAGCTTTACAACAAATGCTAAAGGAACTTCTCTAGGCAGGAAATAAAAGAGAAGGAAAAGACCTACAATAACAAACCCCAAACAATTAACAAAATGGTAATAGGAACATACATATCGATAATTACCTTAAATGTAAATGGATTAAATGCTCCAACCAAAAGACATAGACTAGCTGAATGGATACAAAAACAAGACCCATATATATGCTGTCTACAAGAGACCCACTTCAGACCTAGGGACACATACAGACTGAAAGTGAGGGGATGGAAAAAGATATTCCATGCAAATGGAAATCAAAAGAAAGCTGGAGCAGCAATTCTCGTGTCAGACAAACTAGACTTAAAAATAAAGACTATTACAAGAGACAAAGAATGACAGTATATAATGATCAGGGGATCAATCCAAGAAGAAGATATAACAATTGTAAATATTTATGTACCCAACATAGGAGCACCTCAATACATAAGGAAAATGCTAACAGCCATAAAAGGGGAAATTGACAGTAATACAATCATAGTAGGGGACTTTAACAACCCACTTTCACCAATGGACAGATCATCCAAAATGAAAATAAATAAGGAAACACAAGCTTTAAATGATACATTAAATAAGATGGACTTAATTGATATTTATAGGACATTCCATCCAAAAACAGCAGAATGCACTTTCTTCTCAAGTGGTCATGGAACATTCTCCAGGACAGATCATATCTTAAGTCACAAATCAAGTCTTGGTAAATATAAGTAAATTGAAATCGTACCAACTATCTTTTCCGACCACAATGCTATGAGACTAGATATCAACTACAGGAAAAAAATTTGTAAAAAATACAAACACGTGGAGGCTAAACAATACACTACTTAATAGCCAAGAGATCACTGAAGAAATAAAAGAGGAAATCAAAAAATACCTAGAAACAGATGACAGTGAAAATATGACGACCCACAATCTATGGGATGCAGCAAAAGCAATTCTAAGAGGGAAGTTTATAGCAATACAATCCTACCTCAAGAAACAAGAAGCATCTTGAATAAACAACCTAACCTTACACCTAAAGCAATCAGAGAAAAAGAACAAAAGTACCCCAAGGTTAGCAGAAGGAAAGAAATCATAAAGGTCAGATCAGAAATAAATGAAAAAGAAATGAAGGAAATGATAGCAAAGATCAATAAAACGAAAAGCTGGTTCTTTGAGAAGATGAACAAAATTGATAAACCATTAGCCAGACTCACCAAGAATAGAATCAATAGAATTAGAAATGAAAAAGGAGAAGTAACAACGGACACTGTAGAAATACAAAGGATCATGAGAGATTACTATAAACAACTCTATGCCAATAAAATGGACAACCTGGAAGAAATGGACAAATTCTTAGAAAAGCACAACCTTCCAAGACTGAACCAGGAAGAAAAAGAAAATATAAACAGACGAATCACATGCACTGAAATTGACACTGTGATTAAAAATCTTCTAAGAACAAAAGCCCAGGACCAGATGGCTCCACAGGCGAATACTATCAAATATTTAGAGAAGAGCTAACACCTATCCTTCTCAAGCTCCTCCAAAATATAGGAGAGGGAGGAACACTCCCAAACTCATTCCACAAGGCCACCATCACCCTGATACCAAAACCAGAAAAGAAACTACAAAAAAAGAAAACTAAAGGCCAATATCACTGATGAACATAGATGCAAAGATCCTCAACAAAATACTAGCAAACAGAATCCAACAGCACATTAAAAGGATCATACACCATGATCAAGTGGGGTTTATCCCAGGAATGCAAGGATTCTTCAATATATGCAAATCAATCAATGTAATAAACCATATTAACAAATTGAAGGAGAAAACCCATACGATCATCTCAATAGATGCAAGAAAAAGCTTCTGACAAATTTCAACACCCGTGTATGATAAAAACCCTCCAGGAAGTAGGCATAGAGGGAACTTACCTCAACATAATAAAGGCCATATATGACAAACCCACAGCCAGCTTCATTCTCAATGATGAAAAACTGAAAACCATTTCCTCTAAGATCAGGAACAAGACAATTTTGTCCGCTCTCACCACTATTATTCAACGCTTTGGAACAACAATCAGAGAAGAAAAGGAAATAAAAGGAATCCAAATCGGAAAAGAAGAAGTAAAGCTGTCACTGTTTGTAGATGACATGATTCTATACACAGAGAATCCTAAAGAGGCTACCAGAAAACTACTAGAGCTAATCAATGAATCTGGTAAAGTAGCAGGATACAAAGTTAACATACAGAAATCTCTTGCATTCCTATACACTAATGATGAAAAATCTGCAAGAGAAATTAAGGAAACACTCCCATTTACCACTGCAACAAAAAGAATAAAATACCTAGGAATAAACCTACCTAAGGAGGTAAAAGACCTATACTCAGAAAACTATAAGACACTGATGAAAGAAATCAAAGATGACACAAACAGATGGAGAGATATACCATGTTCTTGGATTGGAAGAATCAATATTGTGAAAATGACTCTACTACCCAAAGCAACCTACAGATTCAATGCAATCCCTATCAAACTACCAATGGCATTTTCCACAGAACTAGAAAAAAAAAATCTCGCAATTTGTATGGAAGGACCCTGAATAGCCAAAGCAATTTGAGAAAGAAAAATGGAGCTGGTGGAATCAGGCTACCTGACTTCAGACTATACTACAAATCTACAGTAATCAAAACAGTATGGTACTGTCACAAAAACAGAAATGTCGATCAATGGAACAGGATACAAAGCCTAGAGATAAAGCCACGCACATATGGTCACCTCATTTTTGATAAAGGAGGCAAGAATATACAATGGAGAAAAGACAGCCTCTTCAATAAGTGGTCCTGGAAAACTGTACAGCTACATGTAAAAGAATGAAATTAGAACACTCCCTAACATCATACATAAAAATAAAATCAAAATGGATTACAGACCTAAATGTAAGGCCAGACACTATCAAACTCTTAGAGGAAAACAAAGGCAGAACACTCTATGACATAAATCACAGCAAGATCCTTTTTGACCCACCTCCTAGAGAAATGGAAATAAAAACAAAAATAAACAAACGGGACCCAGTGAAACTTAAAAGCTTTTGCACAGCAAAGGAAACCATAAACAAGATGAAAAGACAACCCTCAGAATGGGAGAAGATATTTGCAAATGAAGCAACTGACAAAGGATTAATCTCCAAAATTTATGCAGCTCCATATCAAAAAAACAAACAACCCAATCCAAAAATGGCCAGAAGACCTAAGCAGACATTTCTCCAAAGAAGATAAACAGATTGCCAACAAACACATGAAAGGATGTTCAACATCACTAAGCATTAGAGAAATGTAAATCAAAACTATAATGAGGTATCACCTTACACCAGTCAGAATGGGCATCATCAAAATATCTACAAACAATAAATGCTGGAAAGGGTGTGGAGAAAAGGGAACCCTCTTGCACTGTTGGTGGGAATGTAAATTCATACAGCCACTATGGAGAACGGTATTGAGGTTCCTTAAAAAACTAAAAATAGAACTACCATATGACCCAGCAATCCCAGTACGGGGTATATACCCTGAGAAAACCATAATTCAAAGAGTCATGTACCACAATGTTCAGTGCAGCACTATTTACAATAGCCAGGACACGGAAGCAATCTAAGTGTCCATTGACAGATGAATGCGTAAAGAAGATGTGGCACATATATACAATGGAATATTACTCAGTCATAAATGGAAATGAAATTCAGTTATTTGTAGTGAGGTGGATGGACCTAGAGTCTGTCCTACAGAGTGAAGTAAGTCAGAAAGAGAAAAACAAATACCGTATGCTGACACATATATATGGAATCTAAAAAAAAAAAAAAAAGTCATGAAGAACCTAGGGGCAAGATGGGAATAAAGATGCAGACCTACTAGAGAATGGACTTGAGGACACGGGGAGGGGGAAGGGTAAGCTGGGACGAAGTGAGAGAGTGGTAGTGTATATATGGACATATATACACTACCAAATGTAAAATAGATAGCTAGTGGGAAGCCGTCGCATAGCACAGGGAGATCAGCTCGGTGCTTTGTGACCACCTAGAGGGGTGGGATAAGGAGGGTGGGACGGACACGCAAGAGGGAGGAGATATGGGGATATATGTTCATGTATAGCTGAATCAGTTTGTTATAAAGTAGAAACTAACACACCATTGTAAAGCAATTATACTCCAATAAAGATGTTAAAAAAAAATAAGCTACAGAGATATATTGTACAACATGGGGGATAGAGCCAATATTTTATAATATCTATGAATGGAGTATAACATTTAAAAATTGTACAACTGTAACTTTTATAATATTGTACATCAACCATACTTCAATTAAAAAAACATTTAAAGAAATAACACTTAGACCTCAATTACCCATTTCATACCTAATTTATTTCCATCTGGCTGTTTGGAGTATGCTTAAATATAAGATTCATGAGAAATTAATGATTAGATCAATTTGAGGAAAAATACACTTTTCTTACCCCTGGTGTTTTATTCTGGACTTGTACAAGAGACACATTGTGTTGGCAAAGCATTACGCTGAGGAATTGAGGTCAGGTGGAAAGGCGTGATGATTTTCAGAGTATTGGAATCAACGCCATTGCTTTCTTGTAATGGTATTTAGATGGTATAACAGATGCTGGGGTTGGAGCTATACTTTAAAAAGGGTCCTGTTTGGTGAACAGGTCCGACTTACTAGATGGACGGATGACAATGTTATTAGAAATTGCAGCCCCGCGTTCGTTCCTGGCTGTACACTGATAAACTCCTTCATACGTCTCTGCTTTCCCCTCGCTCATGATGTTGACCGTGAGGGTTCCCGAGCCAGACTTCATGGTGACAAGAGGGTCTTTATCTATGTCGAAATGAGTCCCATTTCGGGTCCAGGAGAAACTGCCCAACACATAAAGGATTAAGCTTGTTTACAGCCCAGAAAAACAGGATTATTTCCTCTCTAACAAATTCCTAGCAATTTTATAGATTTCTAAATAATGATTAGATTTTAGTATTCAGTAAAAGAGCAATAGGCTCCACACCTTAAATGTTTCATTGAATTATGACTTAGAGAAAAGTGCCGGCCATACATACTAAGGTACATGTCTTCACTAGAACTAACCAAAATCTGACTCAATAAAGAAATCATGCATACAAATTGCCTGGCATCTTTCAAAGAAAATACAGGAAGTAGGTCTCCGAGGCACACTCTCTTAGAGCTTTATTAGCATTTTAATTGTAAACTCCATTGTTCATAGAATTGATAACCTGCCTGTAAAGATTTGCTCTGGGCTGAAGTGTAAGAAGAAAGGCCTTCACAAGTACTAACATACGTGTGTGTTTAAAAGTGATCAGACCAGTGTCAAGTTACCAACATGCAAAGCATGAGTTGGGAGGAGAGGAAACATGAGCTCAGTGGTGCTTCAAGTGTCGGTTATTAAAAGTGATCACTGGGCTTCCCTGGTGGCGCAGTGGTTGCGCGTCCGCCTGCCGATGCAGGGGACACGGGTTCGTGTCCCGGTCCGGGAAGATCCCACATGCCGCGGAGCGGCTGGGCCCGTGAGCCACGGCCGCTGAGCCTCCGCGTCCGGAGCCTGTGCTCCGCAATGGGAGAGGCCACAGCAGTGGGAGGCCCACGTACCGCAAAAAAAAAAAAAAGTGATCACTGTATATCAAATACGTTTTGAGAATTTTTAATTCTAGAGATGATTTTTATAAATTTCTTAGGAAGCATTTCAAATTGTCAACTGAAAGTCTTCTTTTTCAGTTTTATTTCTGTAAAAGACTGCCAAATACTTGATAACTGGTCACAAATCAACAATGGCCACGCTCTTAACAAAAGCATGAATCTCTAAACTTTCCCATGATTTCCCAGCCCTCCTGGATTCCCCTTCCCACTGCTTATCCTTATAGCAGGAGTTGTCACAACTCCTAGGGTAGGGGACAGCGGTGTTGGCTGCTGCTGGCTTATTATAGGTAGAGGCCAGGGATGCTGCAAAGTATCCCACAATGCACAGGAAAGCTCTTGTCTCCACAGCAAAAAACTGCCCAGCCCAAAATATCAGTAGAGCTGAGATGGAGAAATCCTGCCTAACAGAGAGTTACAGGAGGTATTAATTAAATGTTAAACTAAAAGGGGTGTCATCAAAGGACATCACACTAAGGCCTGAGTGCTCGAGGGTTTCTAATAATATGACAGAAGAGACTGTTTTGAAGCCATCCTTTGATGGAAGTTTTTGATATACTTTGGTAATCTTTTTCTCCGGTGCCAGTCTGTGATAGATTAATAAGGCTCACCATAGACAAACTTGGAAATAAAATATTGAGAAAATTTCCCTTCTTTATAACTTAAAAAAAATACACATTATCTCTCACAAATAATAATCCAACTCTCCAGAATTTCCATGTATTACTGGACAAGCTACGGATCATCCACTAAGGAGCTGTGGGACCTTGGATAGGTTAACCTAGCATTACTGGGCATCAGTTCCGCATCTATAAGATATACTGGTTGGACCAGATAATGTCTAATGTCTCTCCCAACTCTGATAGGCTGTACAGTGTGCATGCCAAGGTGCATATGGAGAATCCTGAGTGCTGAACACTGCCATGTTTGGAAAACCACTCGGGGCTATTTTATAGACTTGTAGAGAGCTAGGAGAGATCTTCGAAGTTGTCAAGTTCAACTTCTTTATTTTACATTTATCTGTAAACTGAGGCCCATAGAGAAGGAATTTGCCCATGTCATAAAGCCATCAGAAGGCTCTTTCCACATCTTCCCACAATTTTTTAGCATATCACAGAAAGGTATCAGTATGGAAATGCAACCATCTGGGTTTTTAAGAAGAACCAACAGAATTTAATTAAGCAGAGAGACAAAACAATGAACCTACAAATGATACTTTAATAATATGCAGGACCTGAAATTAACTTCGACATGAATATCAATGCTTATTATCAGTATTATAACAGCAGAAAGCACACCCACCTTGGAGGAGGTTTCCCTTTGGCCTCACACTGGATTACAATATTCTCCCGTGGGTCAATAATGTAATCTTTTGGAGACTGTTGAGTAATGGTTGGAGGTTGTACCACTTAATGGTAGAAAGAAGAACAATGTAAAGAAATAAATCATTTAATATCATAATAGTAATCACTTTTTTCTATATCAAAATCACTTACCCTAGACTAAATATGCTCCAAATGTTTTTAGTAATTTCCACTGTGGTAACACACCCCCTCAGCAGATTTTTAGCTAAAAGACTCCTAAAATTTTGGAGTCAAGGCATTAACTCCCTTTTGGTAACTTTATATGTGCTCATAAAGCCCATTTTCCCACCCTGAAAGTTTGGGGAAATAATTACCAATATAAGCTTAATATTAAGATAGTTTCATTTCTGATGTAACAATGAGAAATTTCTCTGACAGCTTTGATTCAAATGATGCCTTTCAATGAAATTTAAGTTATGAGGTAAATTTGCATCTTTCTTGGGAAAG